AAGAGCGGGGGCATCACCAGCTTCATGTCCCAGCCAGCTGGAGGCCCCTCACCCCCAGAACATTGGCACTGTGGGCCCAGTGACACAGCAGCAAACTGCTTGGTCACTGTGGTGAAGGGAAGAAGGGAGGAAGGGTGGGAGTGTGCTGTTGGGGAAGGAGGGAAGGACAGGATCTGTTTTGGGGAGGGAGGAAAGAAGGGGGTCTGTTGTTGTGGGGGGGTCTATTATTGTGTGTGGGAGGAAAATAAAATTTGGTGTTTGTTGCAAACTGTCCATAGTGTGTATGGTCTCAGGGTTGCCCTGTAGGCCTGGGTTTAGATGACAGCTCTCCAGGTACCCTACTGTGGGGGTGGAGGAGGAGGTGATCAGTGAGCCCCTCATGGACATGGTGCCCTGACTGCCATTGGCAGGGGGAGGGCAAGGAGCATCCATGGTGTGCAGGCCAGAGGCTAAGCCAGCCTAAGGCCTGAGGCTGCTTTCAGAGTCCTCTGCCAGCCTGAGGTTACCCCTGGAGGCCCCTGCCACTGTGAGCAGGGGCAACATGTAAGGGGTGCATGCAGGTGCATGTGCACCCCCTGAGCATAACGGTGCACTCCCTACAAAAAGGTCACCGCTCACCACCCCACCACTGACACCACTGGCAGCTTCTGTGGTCAGTCCACGATCCCTGCTGGCTGCTGCCGACGCTGCCGGTGGTGCCTGTGGGTGGTCACCAACCCCTGGTTGGCGCTGGCCACCCCGTTCCCCCCTGCCACTGACAGCACCAGCAGCATCTGCGAGAGCTCCATCCACTGCCATCCCACCACTGTGCTCCTGCCACCTCTGTGCCCCCTACAGCCGCCGGGGGCACGCGTCATTCATGACTGTGAGGCTGCCCCTGGAGACTCCTACTAGCCCAAAGCTGTCCCTGGAGCTCCTTGACACCCTGAAGTTGCCCCTGGCAACAAACAAAAGAGCTCCTCCAGAAATCTGAGGATCTCTCAAAAGAACTTGCCAACAGAACCTGTTGCATGAAGAAAATATGAGGAATGTTACAGTGTGGAACAAAGGGGTTCCTTAAAAAGAGTAAGGGACTCAAAATATGACCCAAACAAACTCCAGCCATTATAAATTAGTGGACTATACAAATCTTTTTTGAGACATGAATGTGAAGGAGTAAGAAGGAATCCACCTTCTTAGGAGGCTAGATAATTACTTAGCCGGGGTCATTTGACCTCAACATTCATTCCTGCCCAGTGCAGGGGGTCGGACTTGATGATCTACTCAGGTCCCCTCCAACCCTACCAATTATGAAACTATGAAACCTTTAGGCCATAAAGGTTCCCAAAAGTAACATGTTGAGTTATGGATGCCCTGCAAATCTTTGTCTTCTTTATGGAGGCATAGAAGAATAGAGCTGAAAGGAACCTTGCTGGGTTGTCTAGTCCAACCCCCTGCTTAAAGCAGAACATCTCTGACAAAATCATCTCAGCCAAGTGTGTGTCTACCTCACAGATAAAATATCCCAGGGAGAGAGATTCCACCACCTCTGCAGGTAATTTATTTCATTACTTAATCACCCTCAGTTTTAGAAATTGATTCTTAATATCTAAGCTACATCTCTTGTTGCAATTTAAAGTTGTTACTTTTTATCTGATCTCCTGTGAACAAAGGTGGTATGTTTGGAGTGTTGTTGTAGCCCTGGCAGCTCAGGAAATATGCAAGAGTCAAGGGATTATTTCATAATACCTTTTAATGTAAATGGAGTTAAGCATAAGTTATTGTTTTATCTGATATTTACTTTAGAGGGGATCTGCTGCTTTCCCAGACCTGCATAAGGACACTCTATGCCCAATAGCTTGTCTAACCTGTCTCCAAAACTTACATTTGATCCAATAAAGAATATTAAAGACTAAAGCTTAAAGATTTTTAAAACTTTCTTTATTATGCATTTCACCAGAAAAATACAGCTGTAAAATGTCTGGAAAAGTTTATGTTTTGTTTGCAAAGTGTTGGGTATTTTACTAAACAGAATTGTAAACAACTGAGAAAGAAGTAATGTTGAGGACATATTGAGCAGGAGATAGTAATCCTTTTTCTCCCCACTGGTGACCTAAAATAACAAAAAAGATTATCTTATAAAATTGTGAGCTACATCAAAGTGTTATGAGAAGTATTAAACCACTCATGTTGAAAATAATTTGGTATGTCTACAGGTGTGCTTTATTGCAAAGTAGACTCATTTGCTCCACAGTAAAACATCACCATCTACAGGTACACTACAACTAGGGCACAATAGACTAATTTACTCCAGCATAGGATAGTCCCGTCAGACAGAAATACTATTGTATGCTAGAGTAAATTACTGCACTTAAACACACGTGTAAATGGTAACATACAGATTAGTTTACTCTGGTTCAAATTGTGCTGGAATTTATTTAGTCACATTAATTGCAGGTGTAGACATGTCCACTAGGCACATCTACATGAGATGCTACATTGCCACAGCAACAAGCTACTGTGCCATAGCTCATTGCTATAGTGATATAGCATCACCAGGCATGAACCATGACATGGATGCTACTGAGCAGTAGCAGCTAAAAATAACCATGGGGCAATGGCACTGCGCAGTAACACTGGTTACTGCACATTCTAAAGCAAGTGATAAATGATTGCACAGTAACAACTGCACAGCTGGCCACAGTTTGATGCCTATTCTCAGGATCTCACTCACTTGAAAAAACAGCTCACAGGATTGACCTTATAGGCTCTTATGCTGCAAAGACTCAGGACCAGAGTCACCTTTACCCCATATGGCACATCCTCTTCAGTATTGGGACCAGAGGATTTTCAGGTTTTAAGTCACAAGCTTTCTTTGTCAGCTCTGTGATCAAAACATCCACATATGGCTACAGCTGTCCCAGGAGGTCAAGTTGCAGAAGAGATGTCCCCAAGTGCGTCACAGTTATACCTCACTTGGTCCTAACACAGGCTTTCTCTCCACTCATGGTGCGGGGTGAAGATTCCAATTAGGCATGTTGCAGATTAATCTAAGAAAGCTATTGTATGACTGCACATTGTATGGGCAGGTCTAGCATAGTGGTGCACAGCTTCTTTGCCTGGTGGGCCAGACTGGCAGTGCTCAGTTTGTCCGTGGGCCACATCCAGACAGTGCTCCCAATCTGGTGCCCAGGCAGGCATGGCTGGCACCATCTGGCCATGTGGGGTGGAGGGGCCACGCCAGGCCCAATGCAACCCTGAAGAAGAAAGGAGCTTGAACCAGCCCCATGGAGACGGAAGGGGGCATGGCCAGGCCCAAACCCAGCCCTGTAGAGAGGGAAAGGAGCATGGCCTGGCCCTATGGGGTCAGGGGGTGTAACCAGGTCCCAACCTGGCCCCACAGAGGAAAGGGGACATGGCCCAGCCCCAGAGAGAGGGAAGGGGGCATGGCCAGGCCCTGCAGGGTAAGAGGGCATGGTCAGTCCCCAACCCAGCCCTGCAGGAAGGGAAGAGAATGTGGCCTGGCCCCAATCCAGAAGCAGTTGGGTGTGGCCTAGCCCCATAGGGGAAGGGGGAATAGCTTGGTTCAAACTGGCCACACAGGGAACAGGATTTCGGGATTTGGCAGGGAGAAGGGTGCCTGTATGAATAGTCACTGCTCCCCCGATGCTAAATTTCCAGACCCACGGGGAGATCCACAAGCTAGACACAATGGTTCGACAGGCTGCATTTGACCTGTGGGTTTGAAGGTTGAGCACCCCTGGTTGAGCATGTTATGGATTGCATGAGGCAATCACCTCTGTAACATGTAACAGGTCTCCAGAAAAAAAACATTGTAAAACACAACCTAGAAGGGGATGTGCTGTCTTTTGTAACCAAGGATCCCAGACTCCAAGATAAAAACAGTTCTAGGAAGGAACCAGTGCTACATCAAGCCATGATCCCATTTGCTCTGAGGAATTAAATGCATAGTCCATAAATAGTGGTGCTCCTACCTGCCATGCTTTAGCCTTCAATTCCTAAGATAGCTCTACTTTTTTCAATGAGGCATACACCCTGGGAAAAGAGAAGACAAATATTTGAGACAGACAATCAATGCTAGTAAATGACACAGGGCATTAGTACACATTCATGTGCTGCAGCACTGAGCACTTTTAAAAGTGTCCGGCACTGCAGCACATGCATTTGTATAAATGGCAAAATGCACATCAGTGCTGAGAAAATGGCAGCAGCACACTTTTGAACTAAAACACATTGAACGTGTCTTAGTTCAAAAGCACACTGCTGCTATTTTCTGTGCACTGACATGCATTTCGCCATTTATACAAATGGATGTGATGCAGCGCTAGCTGCATCAGCTCACATGCTCTGCAGACTCAATTTATCGAGTCTTCTATGACACATTGGATTTCTGGTGCATCAGAGCAGACAAAGATATGTGTATACATGCCCACAGTGTTTAGTTAAGAAGCTTCTATGTTCTCTAACTGTTGGAGTCTTGATGGCACACAAGGCCAAACCAGATGGTTCTAATGGTTCATGTACAGGAAGGTGCCTCACGTGTACATTAGTACACAGAGAAATAGAATCACTTTGTGGTAGCTGAACCCTTTCAATTAAATGCAGATATTGACATGTCCATGCATGCTTTCTTTGATCAAGACTAGGCCCTGTATTCATGAAAAAAGAAGAAATACCTCTTCTCCAAAGCAGGTATCATGGTCTTCTGCCTTGCAGCATTTATCCACCATACCAGAAAAACCTGCAGTGATTTTCTGCAGTTGTTCATCTGTTATCGTGGGCTTGCGTTTAACAAGGTTGATAAGCAAACTGGAATGAAAGCAAAACATAATGATAGTTAATACCAGTTAGTCTGACTTGACTTGCTGGGATTCAGTGTCACATTTCCCTGAGGCCTGTGTTGATCCTGGATCTGACTCAAGTTATGAGAAATGCCTACAAGTGCATGTGGTCTTGGGTTTGAAAGTGAGTTTCCCCCTTGCTCAACATAGACGTGATCTATTGTCCAGTCAAGCTTATGGGATTTTTCTATTGACTGCAGTGAGACTTGGATGAGGCCCTGCACGTCAAATATGAGAAAACACAGAAACAGCTCAAAATAATCCTTGCTTTGTTGCTTCAGCTCTTATGGGCATGTGTAGATGAAATGAGGGGCATATGTGCACAACACTTTAAAACGGGTTAAATGATTTTGCACCACTTTAATGGCATTGGTATTTGCAGGTGTCGGTGATATATTGCGCATTAATTCCAGCCACTGTAGCACATTCCATGGCGTAATGTGCTTTAAATGACTTTGGGACTCAGAAAACTAAAACACTTCCAAGGAGTTTTAGTTTGCTGCCCTACATCCACGGAGTGAAGCACCGGGCTCCGTGTGGCTCAGGGGCTGTGCAGGCAGCCTGGGAAGACAGGCTCCACAGAAGAAAAAAAAAAGCAGCAATCCTGATCTTTTTGTTTTTCCCCTGGAGCCTGCCTGCCTGCATGAGCTGCTCAGGGACCCAGTCCTTCCCTCTGCAGCTGTGGTGCCCCCCCAGGACCGCCTGAGCCGGGTGCCTGTGGGTGGGTGCCACCTGAGGGGGGACACTGCTACCATGGAGGAAAGCACCAGCCTCCCCCCACCTTCCGCAGCCCAGGGACTGCTCCACCTGCCGGCAGCTCGCCCTCCCCTCCTCACCACCAGAGGCAGGTAAGACACAGGTGTGCATGACACAGGGGGTTACTTCATCCTAAATTGAAGCAGTGTTTTTTTAAAAACCCATCACTTCAATTTAGGGTGAAGTAAATCCCCGTTTCATCTACAAATACCTACAATTTCAGCCACACTGCTCAGTCTGCCACTTCTCCTGTTCACCTTCACTCACCCCTCCCCTCACCTTATTCTAGGTACAAAAGATCCTCCTTGCATGGGTCTGTAAAGTCTCCATGGTTTTTAATTATTAAGAATGCATCCTATAAGCCACATCTCCTGGGATGCCAGTATAAAAATGGCTTGCTAAGAACCCCCTCTCTTTTTCCTATCTGCCTTGTAGCATGCACTGGCTCAGACTGAATCACTATGCCATTGTACTGAATGCTCTCTGCAGTAAAGTTCCTAACAGGCTGCAGGAGGCTAGAAAAGCAAACTTTTCACATCATATCTTCCCTACAAAGTGATCAGGGTTGCCAGAGTTGGCTATGGAAAAGAAAGCCTGAACATTTGGGAACAACTCAGTGTAAACCAGCATTGTCTATGGATTACATCAACTGAAGATGTGAAATACTGAATGTTTACAACCATAGTGACAGTAGTTTCCAAGCAAATGCTTGTAATTACCTGCAAATGCTTCCTTGGTTTATCTAATACATTAGGGTTGTGCTCCTCCATTTCAGGATGTTAATTCTCACAAGATCTATAATGAATTAGAAAACAAAGGTCTTACCTATAGTCGTTTTTTTGCTTTACATCTTCAGGAGCAGAGCATAATTTCTCATCAAAGTTGAACACATTTGGGTTGAATGGTGGAGGTGTATACTTTTCATCCACTCCCAGTTTGGTGAGGCATGGTCTCCTTTTAGAATAGGAGTCATCACAGCAATGTGCAACTTGGTCATTTATATGTGTTGTTTCCTGTTTCTTGCACATTTCCTGAATCAGAATGCTAAGCTGAATAGAGAAAAGAAAATCAACAAAGTAAGAGTCAAAACTTTTTTTATGGAAATAGGAATACCTGATCCCCACAGCCGAGTGGTATTCCACTTCCAAACACAGAAAGCATCAGTCTAGATTTCATTTGGTTTTGATTATGGAGAATGAAAGAAACAAGTAAGTTTTTTTTTTAAATGATATTGAAGTAATCTGCTGAAGAGCTCAACTTCATTGAAAAAGGAGGTGGCTTCTGCTAATGGATGCAGGGGGCTAACTTAAGGCTTCTAGCTTTGAAAACAATGGTCCAGGTTCCAATGAAAAGTCTCAGGATTAATCTCCTCTTTAAGACAGAGGCAACTTTGAGAATAAAATGGCTGCTGTCTATGGGTTCAGCAGGGTTCATGGAAACTTACAGGTGGAGTACAGGTTTCATGGAAACTTACAGGTGCAGTACAAAGAAAAAAACATCAAAAAGAAGGGAAAAAAGGAAGAAATCTACTCACAAGCCCCTCAGAACAAGGCATGCGTTTGTCTTCGGGTTTCTGGCAGCACTTGACACCAATAGCTGTCATCCTGTGTCCAAGTTCAAGCATTGTTTCTGTGGATACTTGAGGCATTTTCTTGGTGTAGTGGAAAAGAAGCCTGAAATCACAAGATTCCACACTGAATGATTACTGTTGAACAAATTATTGGCAACAAGTCATGTAGCAAGGCTAGTTTCACCAAGTACAAAACAGTCTGTCCAAAGCTGTGCTAACTTTCCTCTGTTTCAGCAGGGAGAGCAGCAGCAATGAATCCCCTCTTAACAGGGTTTTTTTCTCTACACCACCTCTTTTGTCCCAGTAGTGCAGTGTTGGTGCTTTCTGAAGTACCAGCTGAACATGTCTTGTGCCTTTTTCTGATCATCTGTGTCTGGAAAATGTCACCCTTACCAAATTGAACACATTCCCTTCTTATACACAAGGACACTTTTCAGAAACAACATACGTTACTGTGAGGTTAAATTCTCCATCATGTGCAAGACGGTCACAGCGTGCCTTTACAAGTTCTTTAGTCTCCTGGATGTGTTCTTGGATAGCCGCTTCCTGCAAATAAACATATTCCTTATTAGCAGCATGTAACATAATGTGTCCCTGACAGCAGCACACCCAGGTCCTATGCAAACAAATATGCATCTAGTGTAGCCACTTATCTCTTCTATTTGTCCCGAAGTACAGTTCCAGCCCCCATAACTGCAGTAATTGAGAATCCTATCATATTTGAACATATTCATTTTTGGAACATCCCTGATTACACTAAGAACACAAGAAGAGCTACACTGGATTATTCCAATGGTCCGTTTAGCCCAATATCCTGCCCCTGACAGAAGAACAAATGGATGCTTTAGAAGGAGAGTCTTGAAGCAGGTATATCTAGAGTGGTCTACCCCCGTTCATCACCCTCCCTGGCATCCACCATCATTAGCTTAGAGATGCTAGAAGGAACATTTCTGACTGTTGTGCTCTGTCCTAGCCACTGAACCATTCTCCCTCTCAGGAACTGGCTTCTTCATTACTCAACAGTGCTTCACTTGTGTGTAGAGGAGCAATGCCAAAGTGAATCCTTTTTTACTTAAGATGTTACAGCATGCTGTTTTCTGTCTCTCTGAACATTCTCCTGAAGAAAATATTAGGTGCAAAAATATTTGTGAAAAGTTAGCAGGGCTGCCCCTGGAAGGGGGTGGGGGTGGGGAGTGTGAATCGGGGAGACAGCCCTGGGCCCCGCACTTTGGGGGGCCCCATGGTCAATGCCACATAGGCCCCACTGTGGCCACACACCACCACTGCTGAGTGCTGCTAGCTCTGCCACTGCCGCTGAGCACTTCCAGCTCCAGCCGCTCGCCAACCCCCCACCCATGGACTCCACACAGGCTGGTATGCCCCAGGCCCCGCACCCCTAGAGATGGCTCTGAGAGTGAGCATAAGGTTCATAAATGTGACTGATACAAGCTGATGGGCTTCACCTGAATAAATCTTTTTTAAACCTTTTTTTCCCCAGAATTTCCCAGCACTAAGTAAAATCCACGTTTGTTTTGGCTTGCAAAATCAATTACTTCTGTTAGCCTCTAAAGGACTGAAATGCTTTGATTTCAGGGCCAGATCCTGTTCCACCTATTAGGTGCCTAATTTTGATCCTATTTAAGCTTATTCAACATACACGTATCAGTCAAAAAAATCCAGAAAGAACCTACACACATTTTCTTTAACAGTCTTTCAGAGACTCAAGGGTGAAGTACAATCACATGTTGGCAGCTAAGTTCATTTACATGCCTAAGAGGCAGAATAGGTGTTAAACCAAAATTGCTTTGTGCCCCTAACAGACAACACAATAGACTGAAGTGTCACGTCTGCCAAGGCCCCTGCTGTAGCAGGGAACTGATTAAGTAAGGTTAGTGTCACAAATTCAACTTAAAACTTGGGTTGAAGTTGCTTGTTGCACTTAGACCATACTAAGGGCACCTAAAATGTGAGCATCTGGACATTAAGGCTTGTTAGCTCATTCTAAGTGCTCTCCAAGCATCTCAAAGTTACCCCACTACAGGTGAGGGTTAACTCTGAGCCAAGCTACCTAGTTGAGAGTAGGCTCACTTCAGTCTGCTCCATGGAGATAAAATGATTAATTTGCAGTCCACCAGCATCCCAGGACACACCACTCCCAGCTCTCTCCTCTTATCCCACCCTTCACCCCCCCACACACACACAACAGTGACAGAGCCAAGGCATCCTGGCTTCTAGCCACGCCCCTGTTTGCTAGTCCTCTATTAGCAAGAAACAGCACTAACACTTAATGTGCAACTGTTCACAACATGTTCTTAACTTTAACACTACTTAACATCCCACAGATTTAGTAAGGTCAAAGTATAAACTTCACCCTTATTACTAAGTGCAGTTAAAATATGAGCAGATGCATGCTCAAGCAGTTTAGCATATGTTCAATGTCCTTTTGGCATTGCAAAGATGTTACCTTTCAGGAGAGGGTTATCTCCTAACACATACTAACTTTAATACGTCATTACATTCCAATGATCTGCAACTCTTACAAGTGAATGTAGGGCGCCATCAAAACACATCCTAGCTTTAATACATCACAACATTCCAAGGAATGGGTGATACCACCCTGAGAGATGCCAAAATGATCCTTGTAAAATGTTGCAATCAAAGTTTAAAAAACCCCAAGATTCCTGCATCAGACATCATGTTACACACTTTTATGCAGGACCTCATACATATGAGTCCTGAATTTTGCCAGGGCCTGCATTTGCCAACACAATGGAATTATTGGATGTAGTATGACTTCTCTATCTCTGGGTCAAAAGATAGTTCTTTCTCCATAGTCAATGAATCTTTGTCCTTTGTCCTCAGTAACAAAGATGGCAATGGTACCTCTTCCATGGGAATCCCAGCTTCTCCCATAGATTAATACACAATAGATTCTTTAAAAATGGAATCTCATTAAAATTCCCCTGATCTGACTCCATTCATCATAACTCAAGACATTTCAACACTCTATTATACTATAAGTGGAGAAACAGTGGAACCTACCACTTTAGCATAACATTCAGAAGGATTTTCAGTTTTGCAGCACTTTTCCAGGGTGTCTTCATATAGCTTAGCAATCCTCAGACATGTCTGAGTAGAGAACTCTGGGTGCCTTCTTGAATATTCATAGAGAAACCTGCAACAATTGAATGCTGCCAGCATTAGAGCTGAAGAATAAAATTGCCATGGCTTCCCTAATGAATAACATAGCAATGAGCATAGAGACAAATCATGACTGTTGTTCTGATGGAAACAGGTCAGGTAAACCCTGAGGTTTGGAATGGGTTTCCTTGCCTTAGTAGGACATCTTTACCATTGCAGAGTCTATAAATGATTGATTGCAGGAGGGGCAACAACCAAAGAAAAAAACACTTCCTAAATAGGATGTTATAGCAGAAGCACATAGCAGCCCTGAATATAATGCTATCTCATACCAGTGGCAAGGGGTGGAAAGCCACTGATGTGCTACCTGCCATACTCCACTAGAAAGATATGAGGAGTTAACACTGGGAATTAGAGTATAGGAAAAGGAAGGAAACAAAACAGAGGAGATCTTGACCTCTCCACGGACAGGTCTAAAAAAATCTTCCCAAGATGTACTCTACTGGCCAGATTCTCCTCTGGCATAAAATAGCATCACTACATAGAGGATACCAGGCGATTTACAGCAGCAGAATATTAGTGAGATAAAATTAATCTACTTGCTGTCTGTCTTTAAAATCTATTATTACAACAAGAGCAACAACAGCAACAATAACAAGTACAAGAATAACATTAATAACATGAAAAATAATAATAATAACAACAATAACAGTAACAATAATAAATCTACTTATTGTATTACATACTCTGCCAGGAAGGCATCATGTCCTGCCTCCAAGCATTTGCACACGTCTGGGTTGTGTATGTACTTGTCACCTATTGGGGGTAAGTCTGCAGGTTTGTCATCAAAATCTGCTTCAATGATACACTGGCTTCGCTCTACCACTGGTTTCTCACAGCAGTGATGTATTTTACTGGAGATCGCCTCTTCTTTGGAGCAGATGTAAGTCATGAGTTCAGCCTGCAGAAGGTGCAATGAAGCACCAGTTAAAAGGTGTTGATTGGCCATCCCCCCCTATTTTTTTTGCTATATTTTGGAAGCATGAGTCAGTGCTGCTCTTCACCCATTTTCTAGAGAACTGGCTGACTGCCTAAAGAAAGAAAGGGTTTTTTCAGGATGTTGTAATCAGCACTCCACTAGACAGAAAGCAACCTAAAACAGGCAGAGCTAAAGCAGTGCCAGTCTTCCTCCCAGCAGTAGGCCCTTTGGTCTATCAGAGCCATGGCACTTCTGTCATTCTTCATGGCCCAACCTGGGGAAGGTTGTCCCCATTCCTTAGTTTTAGCATGTTAGTGAGGGGTGACTAGAAAACCTCAAATTCCCTGTCTTTGTCACAGCCACATTCCCCTGACAGCCCCTGATTTCTCTGCACTGCAGAATGTGGCCAGATGCAAAAGCCCCACAAGAACAGAAAGGCAGTCTTGGACACTGCATGCAAGTGGACAGTCATCTTGAGAGTACCCTTGTGGTCAGTACTGCAGTCCTTAACCTGGTGAGTTGTTCCATCGAGCTGAAGGGCACCTATTTTGTGATAATTTTTAGTTCAGTCCTGGGAGACCTCTTGAGGATTTGGGCAAACCAGGGTTTGCATTATGTGGGAGCTTGAAGTGGGGACTGAGCCCCTCCATAAGAGATGAGAGTCCCTCTGTAAGATTTGGAAATCATAACCTGGGGAGGATCTCCAATTTTATTAGGGCATTGTGATAGTCAGCACGATATTTTTGCAGACCACTCCCCCACCCTACCCAAGAGTCAAAGTGTAATTCAAAACCTGGGGCTAAGGAATTATGTTTTCTCTATATCTGACATTCAAAAAATAGCAGAGCACTCCTAAATCCCCTTCCTCCCTATCTGCATGACTGAATCTGAAGTGCAGCACTGCAAAACAGAGGTTAGGGTCAAGAATTTTCTGCTACTGGCTGGCTAGAAACTCCAAATACATTGCAGCATTGCAAAACATTTATGTGGTTTCCATTTATGCCTGTTTCTGTTCTGAGGTCCATTTGTGTGTGTCTGTGGCTTTAATTTTTAACCTACATGGTCTACCTATTACCCTAATTAATATGGTGATTTTGAGCTTCGAAAAAAACCTTAAGCAAGCAAATAAATTCGAAGTCATAATGAATGTGTCATAATTCCTTAAGGGCTATATTTCTAGTTGGTACTTGAGAAATATCCCCAACCAGTCCCTGTGGGAAACATTTAGGCTTAGGAGGCTGTGAAGAAAACTATAATGACCTGTAGATTACTATAAAACTGGAATGCATAACCCATAATTTTTTGCTATAAGTGATGGAATGCCTCTGGGAACCTGGATTCTAGAGCTGGCTTTGTTTCTCTTTGCTCTCTGTGGTCAGCTTTTACTAACATTCACCATCAACAAAGAATGTATATTTTGGAGCGGGGGGGAAAAGGTTACATAGGGCAGTACGCCTAAACTACACCACCGTTTTATTACATACTGATGCAACCATTTGATGCATTCCCATGTGGCACTTCTACCTCCCACTTTTAAAACACCTAAAAATAAGTTTGTCCATATCCTGATATTTCTTTGATGTTTCTTCAGGTTTTAGAACTACCGGCCCATTTTGTTAAAAAAAAATAATGGCAAAAACACTTACTCTGCATGGAAAACCAAACTTTGTGGGTCTGAAAAACCATCCAAGTTTATAGGCATCTTGAAATAAATTACTAAGTGCTCACTTCTGGCTGGTACCATGCTCCTTGCCCCCACCTCCCCCCCATGAGTTGCCTCATCAAGCTGAAGGGTACATATTGGATGCATCTACATGTGCACATTTAATGTGCATTAACCTGATTTAAGGCACATTAAGGGCATGCATCTACACACGTGAACCTTAAAAATGGTGATTTAAGACTATTTAAACCTAAATTTGATACCTGCATAAAGCAGGCATCAAATTTATGCACAAATAGTTAAATCACATTAGCAAATGGGCGACACACTAATGGACAATAATGCAGTGTGTGCCCATTGACTTGAGACTAACTTTAGTCCCAAGTCAATCCACACACCCTCGTTAATGCTCAATAGCATGTCTACACATTCGCTAATGTGATTTAACTATTCATGCATAAATTTGATACTTGCTTTATGCAAGTGCATATCAACATGTGCCGATATCACATAATGCGCATTAGGCAAATGCAAATGAAAGGTGTATAAAAGCATGTGTAGACATTCCCATTGAGTGTGTGTGTAAAAGCATGTGTAGACATTCCCACTGAGTGAGGAATTTAGAATCAGTGCTAGGCAGCTGTTGAGAATTTGGGCTGAGAAATTATGATTTGATTCTTGAATATGAAGTACAGCACTGCATAGAGAGTTATGGGGCAAGAGTTTTCTGCTATTGGCTTTCGAAAACCTCCCAGCACACTGCAACATCACAAGACACGTCTGTGAACTGCATGCCTACCTATTTCAGTTCCAGGATCAACTTTTGCATACCTATCACAGCTTTCATTTCTACCTGTTTCCCTAATCAATCCCTGTTTCCCTAATCATTGTCCACCTGTTTCCCTAATCAATATGATGATTTTGAGCTTCAAAAACATAGGCAGATAGGTTATACTCCAAGTCATAACTAACATCTAACCATTCCTAAAGACTATATCCTAAGTTAGTGCTTAAGAAATATTTCCAACCACGTTTCCTGGGGAATGTGTAGGCATTAAGCTGTGAGAGTAGAGTGTGTGATAGAAAATATAACTCTTCTGAGTTTTTTCTCAAATATACGAATGCCAAGAAAATATGTAATTTACCCTGTCATCCATGCACTCCACCATGTCACCATCGCAGCACTCTTTGTAGATTCCCTTGAGATCTTGTACAATTTTGTGAACTTCTGCAAATGGAGCCTTTGGATATTTTTGGCTAATGAAGGCTAGCCGCCTAGAAAGAAGGGAAGAAGAAGAGAAAAGAGTATTTGTGAAGCTTAGTAAAAAAAATCTGACATTTAGGCTAGTCTGTAATACTCAGGAACAGGCAATGTTTTCATTAGTTGGACTCTTGAAAGCTGTCAGTCTCTCTCAAAAAGATGCTCTAGATACATCTTACTATGTTGGGCTACTCACTAGATAAAATCAATGTCTTGCATTTATGCAGGGGATCAGACAAGAAAACTGTACTGATCAGTTCTTAATGTATAATAGGCAAGGGCTGTAGCTGAACTATTATTATCCAAGGAACATGCCTCTGAAGCATTGATTCTGGAATAAATGATACAATCACATGTATTACTGCAACCTAGTATCTAGAGCTGGCTTCATCTGTCTTTACTCCCAGTGGTCAGCTTAGTACTAATGATCACCATCAACCAACAAAGATTATGCATGTTTACCTTTGCATAGTGCAGTGCACAAAAACAAAGCCACAAATAAAGATCTTGCCCATATTTGGCAAAGCCTGGAATGGCCTAATCTTTATGCAGGATTTGAGAAGGCTTCTGGCCATTATGTACTCTGCCAGGAAGTTACCATGTCCTGCCTCAAAGTGTTTGCACGCTTCTTGCAATTTTTGCAATTCCTTGGGCAAAAAACCAGGTCACTTTTAAATATGAGGCTGATCTTCAAACCCTGTGGATGCAAGTGACTGACTTGTATAGACAGAGGTAAACATTTTGTCAGTGCCCAGGGATACTGATGTAAATTGTTATGATACAAGTCCTGTGTTTTCTGTAGCAATAGAAATGTAGCAAAACCACTCCGACTTTTCATTCGGGGTCTAAGTTAGGGCAGCTCAGTTTACTTTACAATGCCAAGGTCATGTGACTGTAACTAGTTACAGGATAACATCTGAGGTGTGATCCTATGTGGTGCTTCCTCCTCCCAGTTTTAAAGCACTTAAGAGGTATATTTGTCCATATCCTGACACTCTGATGTATCTTCAGGCTTTAGGACTAACAGCCTACAGGTTTCCCTCACTTTATGCAGGTTCTGTATGTGCAAATACACTCTTATTCCATGACACTTTTTATACCAGAAATTCATTATATGCAAAGTAAATTCACTCTCATGAGATCAGTGTGGTGGAAGCCCACAGTCAGCTCCTTTGTGTGGTACATTGTGGGAGTGATGCACATCAAAATATAGTCTCCTGTGTGGATCTGTGCTCCTCACTCATTGTCTGCGACATGTGTTTGTGTAGTTGCCATCCTCATTATGGTAACATTCACCATCACCCTGTGCTTGTGTGTAATGTCTGCTGTTGGTGAGCTCCAAAATTCTCATGTAAAAATGGTAGAAATGGGTCTGTGGGTCAGTACAGTTGAGGTCTTGGAATATATCCCCAGGAGCAATGGGTAGGGGGGTGCACAAGGGTGCACATGCACCCCCTGAGCGTAGCAGTGCACCCCCTACAAAAATCACTGCAATTGCCACTGGCCACCACTGATGTTGCCGGTGGCATCTGCTGGAGGTTGCCGATCCCTGTTTGGTGCTCCCCCACACCACCAACAGCGCTGGTGGCATCTGCGGGAGCTCCTGCTTACCACCACTGTGTTCCTGCTGCCACTGCCATGCTACCGCTACCACCATTCCCCCCCAGCTGCTGGGGGCACACATTGTTCATGTATATCCCTATGTGTTACATTGTAAAGTGGGTTCCCTCCTTAATGCTATTTTGCGTTATGTGCCGTTTTCCAGGAACACATACAACATAAAGCAAGGAAAACCTGTATTTTGTTATAAAATAATGGCAAGGACACTTACTCTGCCTGGAAAACTCTCTCCCCAAACTTCTTTAAGATTCCACAAGCGTATACCTGCCGTGAATTCAGTTTTTTGGCTTTTTCCTTTATGGCAGACATCTATGGTAAAAAGAAACAATTTGTCAAAAAAAAGTCACACTCGATAGATTAGAAAACAAGAAACAGGAAGCTCCAGTCTACAAACACAAAGGACTCTTCCCTAGTAAAACTGTGAAGAGGCAAGCAAAGTAAGAGGTCCTGATGCAACCATTAGCCACTTACAGTCCAGCAGTTAATTTTGATTCAAATATTTAGGGCCCAGAATGGCTGCCCTCCCTCTTGCTAAGTTGTACCTTGCTGTGTACCAATTGATTTCACTGAACTACACAGCCTTTGCTCGCAGAGTCACCAACTGGTGGTTCATCAGAAGCCATGGGGACTAAGCACAAATGAAGGGACAATGTGGCCCAGAATGTTTTAAAAGTAGGTGACAGATGGAGACCCTTCAGTTATTTTATGACTATTTCACAAATGACGATATGTCCAAGTAAGTAATGTGCAAGAGCACCACAATTTCTGCATAATTTGGGAATAACTGCCTTTGTTTTTGTATGAAGCAACGATTTCTTATGGTGAGAACTCTCATTGGATTAACTGCATAGTTGAGACAGAATTATACAAGATTTAGAATACAACACATACTTCTTCAGGTCTTTTTTGTATATAATTATTTTACATACTGATATTTTCTCATTCTTCTGAAATGCCTCAAAACCTGTGGTATTTAGAGTGATACATGTTGGGGGTGGAAGGAAATCTGGGGGAGACTGTAATTTCTACCTTAGAAGCTGTTATACAGTCAGGAGGCACACTTTATTTTAAAATTACTAAAGTTAATTAGACATTGTCCTTTCAAAACTGCCTTCTGATCTTACCAAGGTCAGGGTTAAGTGGATGGAAAATTCCACTTTTCACATAGAAAATCTGAGTACCTTTTCATCCAAGCAAGTACCAATGTCAGTCTCTGCACAACAGGCTTCAACTGCATGCTCATAGTCAGCACCCAGGGCAAGAATTGCAGGGGCATAAAGGAAAGGTGCTTTTCTTGCAACCCTATAGAGGTAACTGTAATTCAAAGAAAATACAAAGCCAGGTGTTTCAGTAACAGCAATAAATGTCCTCAACTCTATGCAAGGTTTCTGTTTTGTTTATTTATTAGATTCATAGTCTTCCCTTCCCCAAAAGGCTCAGGATGGCCTAAAATAGTGAATGTGCAGTGTCTAGGTTTTTAAAATGTGTGTGTGAACATGTGTGTGTACATGCGTGTGTACCCACACACACACTCTTACACACATTCTAAAAGCCTAGACACCGCACATTCATTATTTTAATATATATTAGAAACACAGCAATCTAGACATAGAAATCTAGTGTGGTATCTACCAATAGTGTGTGTTGTGCTACATCTGAATATCTCCAAAGAAGAATTCACTGATGGAGATCATTGGATGAATTCCTTATATATTTGGCCACATCAATACTATGAGAATTAGATTTGTATTTTTATTTTTTTTAAATCACTGATATTTTATAATGGGATGAAACCTGCCTAGTTTTGTTGTTGCCACCCCTTGCTTTCTTTCTTTTTACCTTTTTTTTCTGTCCTTTCCAGTGACAAAGTGAAAAAATTAAAAGAAAATGGAAACTGGAAAAAAAAACGAATGCTGGAAAAGTAGAAATGTAAACATTACTGGGTTTGGGTTTCAGGCCTTTACCAAAAAAAAAAAAAATACTTAAAAAAAAATCCAGAAAATGTGTATATGAAGAAACATATGGTTTTCTTTGCAAAAAATTCAAATACAAAAACCAAACCATTATAACATCTAGTGGAAATGTCATCGCAAGTTCAAACTTTGAACAATTTTTCCAGCTCCTTTGACACAAGTGTATACAATATGTGTGTGTGTAGCTGTTTCCACACTTAAGTTGGCAACATTTTGGCCATGTAATTCTGTGTGTCTACATGTCCAATGAATCTTGGGGAGTACCTCTGTTTAGTATGATTAATAATCTGCATCTTTAATAAAAATCAGTTTCCTTACTGTTCCAAGAATGACTGTTTGTTGTCTGTGAAATCCTTGCACAATACAGCAGGCTCAGGTCTCTGATATGGCTGAATGAATGGTGGATTGTTTATTTTGAATGTTAGGAAGCACTCATTTCTTTCAGGGTCATCTTTAGCACAACAGTCAGCCATCGACCCGTACATATCACGAAGAGCTGGTACTCCACAGATCTCATCCAAGAAAATGGCAGGCTACAGTGAGAGGAGTAGAAAACAAACATGGCCAAGAGTCACCATTAAGGTTGGTTATGGAAAGCATAATGTATCATAATACTTAGGGTCAGAAGAGACCTAAACAGATCATCAGGTCAACCCCCATCATCAGGTCCGACCCCCTGTGAATGCCTGGGTGCAGCTGTGGCTATAGCAGCAGTCAGTGTGTTATATTCGCAGTTCAACTGGGCCATTGACAGAATGGCTGTCAGGGTTAGTGGGAATATCCCCCAGAAAGTTCTGGAAATTTACTGGCTCTATCATTTACTGGAGACAGACCAGCCTGACTGGTCCATCACCTTGCCAGGGACATTTTGGGGCAGGATTATGTGCCTTTAAAAGGTCATGGCCCAGCCAAGATAGAGGCATCCTAAGGATACACACTATGATCAGACCCCCTTTTTCCAGGCTGGTGCAAAACATTAAGTCTAGCCTGTGTCCCACCCTGTATGTCAATCCAGTTGTTTTCTGGGATAGCCCCACAGTTGCCATAGACTCCATGAAGTCCCATTCCAGCCCTGACAGGCCAGCCTCAATGTGAATGTTGAAGTCACTCAAGACAGTAAGTCTGGGTGTTCTCAATACCACTTCCAAGGCCAGATTCGCTAGTTTAGTCAGGGGATCTGTTGTGCAGAGGGCTGGTTGATACACTAACAGAATCCCTGACTTATCCCTGGTTCCAAACACAAGGTAGGATCCCCTGCATTGAACAAGTCAGGCACCAGATACCTTTTACATGCAAGAGTTTCTATATAGACCACTGCCACCGCAGCTTCACTGCTATACCTTCCCCTACCTAGCACTACCCTGCTAGGCACAACTGATACCCCCAAAAGGTCCCTTCCTATGCTCACCATCTTCTGCCTGCTCTTGGTAATTTCCACCCAGTTGCCAGGGCTGACAACAGGTTCTAAATTATGATCCCACCAGGGAAAAAGATTGTTTGGGGAGATGTCCTTACCCAGGCACACTAGGACACAGATTGAGCAGGGAAGCAAGCAGGGAAAAATTCCATCCCACCCTACCCATTCCCGGCCAAAGTCATATAAAGCTAAAATCAGCAGGCCTCTATCAATTCCAATACTCACACTACGAATTGACATAAGTCCATCAATTTAAACCAGGGATGTGAAAGACATGGTCCACGGGCCAGATATACCCTGTGGAGCCCTATAATTTGGCCATAAGTCTCAGACTGACCCCACACATTGCATACAGCATATGATGCTAGTTTGGTATATGCCACATTTGGTGCACATAGCTGGACCCAGTGTGCAAAACCAGTCCAGCATAGACACTTTATGCAGCATGCCCTGTGCCAACTCCATGCATGAGCCCTGGACTGGAGCCAGCATGTGCTGCATGCAGTATGCAGGGCTGGTCCAGGGTATGCATGCACTACATGAGTTGCCTGCATTGGACTGACCTTGTGTGCTGGCTCCAGTGCATGGGACATGTCTGTGGGCCTGATCCGTAGGGCTGGATGAATTTGACAGTCGATTCTGATATCTACATTCTCCCATTCTTTATGATCAGTAGAGGTCTGCTGTTACTTAAACTTAATAGGACATATACCATCTCAAGTTCGCCTCAGACTACCAGTTCCACTGAAATCAGTGTAAGTTCTCAGGTGTATCTATGACAGGATGTGGTCTATATTTGAATAACAATACAGGAAACCTTCTAAAAAAATGTTGTGATCCCTTGTACTCAATTTGCCAGTTGGAAATAGCCAGAATATAGTCCCAAACATGCCCCTCACATCCTTAGGCATATGACTAATACTGAGTAGGCCTCTAGGTAAGTTAGGTTTCTCTAAATATCTCTAAATCTTTAAATATCTTTGTAAAGCTAGATAGCAGACACTTTCTGAAAATTTTTACCTGAGGGTCGTAAGTTCCACTAATGCCCTCCATCTCCAACCGGATCAGAGGCAGCTTCCCAGCAGCCAGGACAAGTTCTACCTGCCCCACTTGGGGCCAGCCCAATCTCCCCCAGCTGGGATGGAGCTGGAACAGCTCCCTCTCTGCCCTCCAGAGCTCTGGGCTAAGCCCCCATATTACCTGCCAACCAAGGGCTGGCACTTAGGGGAGCCAGGAGCTCCCTCTGACTGCTGCAGGTGGGCAGAGCAAAGCAGGAGCAGCCCTAGACTGGACTGCTGGGCTCAATTTGTTCCCAACAGGGGCACATGTATAGATATACACCAGGGAGCACTTTAATGATCCTGAATTTTCTTCAGAAAAAAATCAGGCACATTAATTGCATGTGTAGACACGCCCAGTGTTTCCTTATAGTCAGACCTATACTTCATGTGCCAGTGTCCATTTCTAGGCTCCTAAATATCTTTAAAAATCTGGCCCTTAGTGACTTAAGACCCTATGCCTTAGAGGAAGTCAATGGAAAATAGGCTGCTAAGTTGTGTAAGCATTTTGAAATTCTCTACTCTTAGAATCTGGTATTTAAGAATATCCACCTGAAAGGCAATTTGGCTGACAGCATCAAAGACTGAGCACCTTAAAGGTTTATAGTGATAAGAAAAGAAGATTTTACTTTGCTGTTTAAAGTAAACTGTTTCCTGCTGTAACATACTATGAGACAAATACTGTAACTCTGGATATTTTGCCTACCAGTGATTTTGTGCATTCTGCGGCATCCTCATTGTCTACACATTTGTGTGCAAGGTCGACGACATCCTTTACCAGTTTAGCTAGTGCATCAAAAGGACACTTCTGGAGGTACTGAGCAAATGTGATCAGGGCACTGAAATATAAAACATAATTTTTAAAGGTGAAGATAACAAAGAAACATCTTTTTTCATTTTACACAGTTGCCTTTGGATTCAGAGATTTTGTTTTGATCCATGGCAATCAAAACTGAGAGAGAACCCTTCATTGAAATTACTGAGCAAAGTTAGTGAGAGCCAGTTATTCCAAAGGAAGAAAGCTATGACCAAAAATCTGATTCAAATGGCATTTATGCCTAAAATGAATAACCTCAATATCATAATTCTGCAACCTATATTCTTTCTCATCCCTTCCCTTCCAAGTGTAAGTTTTAGTTTAATTTCTTTGTGAGGACCATCATATAGGGTATAATCACCTCAGATTAGGGACTTGTCCTCAGTGGGTGCATCTACATGAGACACTACTGTCCAGTCACTACTGCACATTTATTATTTGTTTTAGCAAGTACTAAATAAATGCACAGTAACTGGAGTTACTGCACAATAGTGCCGGTAAACATCTTTTAAGTGACACTACTTGTGCAGTAGCCTAATAATACTGTGCAGTAGCATATTAGCACTGTCTGTGTTGTGATGCACTACTACACAGTATTTTTCGACTACTGTGTAGTCAGTATCTTGTGTAGGTGTGCCTGGCGTTATCCTTCCCCTTGCATCCAGCACACTTGCAGTTACCGTAAGTTTAGGTATTAGTGTCATGGTTAAAAGTAATTGATAGTAGAACATTAACACCCAAAGGAGTTTCTGTAGTAGCTCTCTGAGATCTTTAGTTATCTCCACCATTCCTAAAACCACTAGGCAACTTGGTTTGTCCCAGTAGTGTCCTTTGAATGAGACACCATTTGGCACACAAAGGTTATTGAATCTGCACTACTTCTAGGCCATATTTGCTTGGGGTGGTCGGACTTGGGTGTGGTTTGGTTCCCTCTTACCTAGCCAGTTGTCCTGCAGTTCACTCCTAAGCATCTCTTAAGGGTAGGACTGCAACTGCTTCAAGGCTCAAGCAAGTCCTGAGTCTGCCTTATCTGGCTGTATATAACATTCGTTTTCTTTGTTTGTAGAGTCCATATGTCTTTTAATTAGCCCACATTGTATTTCCTGCTAACCAGCAGCTTATTTTTGGTGCGAAGACAAATGTAAGGTTATTATATCATTCATCTTAAAGGTTCACTTACACGTCTTTAAAAGTTGTTTCCTTTAAATCGCTGAAGCGGTGGGCAATTTCACTCTTGTGTTCTAGGTAATAAAAAAAAAGAACAATATGTATCAGCTTTACATTTGCTGTGTGTAGATTCCTCCTGCTACAGTGAATCTATTTGGGCATATGGAGGAGTGTTTAGAAAAATGTTCAGACTTGACCTAACTCTTAGACTCAAGAGAAATGTTCCTATTGATTTCAGCCGGAGACAACTATAGTTGAAGTCTTATAATCCCTTGCTTTAGTTTTTTTGTTTTTGTCTAGGGCTCTCCATGCTGCTTTTCTGATAACCCTTCTTTCCCAAGCCTTTCTTTGGGTTACCTTGATCTTTCCTGCATCTCAGGTGGCCCACCTAACTCACTTTCCAATGATTACTATGGCCTTTTTCATATGCTTATCTAGCCAAAGTTAGTCTGTCTCACCATCAATATATTCTGGTTTAATAGTTAACTGCCGAAATGTGTTCCTGTTTCAAGTATAAGACAAACAAACTGGATCTCAGATACCATGAACCATTAGCAAATTTGGAGTTTCAGTTATAATGACTGCACTGCTGTGAATATTGAAGATGAACTCAGATGGTCCCAGTCTGATCTTTAGGAAAACCTTGTTGATCGTTTGAGTTTTTTTAATTTGCATACCTAAAATTAAAGAGGTCCATTGGCTTAGATTCATGCTCTACTGGACACACATCATTTGCATCTGCTGCAAAAGGTAGGGGTCATATTCAAGCTTTCAATCTGTAATTAAGATACCTAATAATGCAAGGCTTGTTGATCCAGGAGTAGCTTAGTAGGCTTTGCAAAGTGACTGAATACATAGAAAAATGAAATAATTTTATTTTCACTGAAATTTTTATCAGATAACTTGGACATTTCATTGACCAAGGGATGGACAGAGGGGCTAGTTTTGGGTAAAAACAAAAATATCTGACCAAATGTTTCAGTCAAAATCTTTCAGCTTTTGGGTTCTCAATTCTTCCAAAGGGGAATAAAAAGCTCTCTAGGAAGGCAGTCTCCTCCGGTAAAATTTAACTAAACTCAAAATCTCAAGAAAGCTGTGATGGAAAATTCTTGGCCAGCCATACTCGGTGCCCAAATTGAGATTTAGACAGAGTATTAGGAAAGAAAGGAACAGTGGCTCTAGTTTTATATATAATTTAAAGAAAAAAGTTTTTTTGGCAGGAAAGTGCATTTCCTTGTTCCATTCTATAGAAGTTATTTAGGGGAAAACACTATATGTTGATCACACATTCAATTAATGGCATGATAGAAACCAGCCGCAAAGTTAGTACACATTTTTTGTGGAATAACTTTGTGGCTTATTCCATGTTTTATGATACCATTAATTGCTTTAATGTGCAGCTAGGTTAAAACTTAAGATGTGATTAACTTGTTAAACATGTCTCAAAAGTGGAAGGGACTATAATTCATCTCATATCAGCACTGACCAAGCCCATTATTTTCAATAGATTAAGTTATTCTCCAGAAGGTTATGCTTTCAAGCCTTAACCTGAAAAGTTTCTGCCTTCAGAAATTAAAATTTTCAAAGTCTTTTGAAGTCAGAGTTTCTCCATAAACTTCAATGGATTTTAGAGCAATCATTTAAAACTAAGTTATGAAATTCTGCAAAATTGAATCCAAAAGTCTTGGGAGCAATACTACAAAGCTTGCAGGGACACAGCATTAAAGCAAGTAGTTAGCACAGATCTTTCTTACCTGCCTCTCGAGCAGATCTTTTCAGATTCCTAGATGTAGCAGAACTGAAGAGAAAAATTAAAGAAATTAATGCCACCCACTTCATGGTTGCAGAATTTGGTGGGGGAAGGATTGTGCAGGAATGCTAGAAAGATTGCAAGAAAGGTGTTCATTTATATACTCTTCTCTGTCCAGACCTGTAAACGATTAACCATACAATAATCACTTGTAGATTTCCATTTGATCTGAATATTACAAAACTGGGAATATTTTTGCCAAAAATTAATTTGATATCATTATTTACTTATTTGGACTTGATCTGAATCTTTTTGTTCTGAAAAGGCCTTGCAAATTCATGAACCTTCTATCACCCCAAAAAATAAAGTTTTGTGTAAATTACCTTATCAGATTACAACCAAGGGATTTCATTAAAATATTATTTCGTTTACTCTCATTGCCATGCTTTTTATGGCCAATATTTGTTCAAGTGATCTGAACTGCTAGCTGTAGGACTTCAGTCAAGGGATCTCTGTCAGCAAAGCAGGACTGATAATGTTCACATTGGGCGCATCTACATGAGACACTACTGCGTAATAGTTACTGCTCATTTCTTTAATACTTGTATTAGCAAGTACTAAATAAGTTCACAGTAACCAGAGTTACTGTGCAGTAGCAGTAGCCGATGCCTTTTATGTGATGCTACTGCACAGTAGCCTAATACTACTGTGTGGTAGCGTCTTGGCATGGTTTTTACCACATGACACTACTGTGCAGTATTCTCTTTGTTAAAGTGTTTCAGTTAACCAGCTTGAGTACCAACAACAGAGTATGAATTATGATCAATGAATAGTTTTCACACAGGCTGTGAAGACCACAGGAGCAGAAAATTATGTGCTCAAAACAGTCAGTGAATTCTGACAAATAACTACTATGGAGCCAAAGATATAAATGTAATTTAGCATAGTTCCAAGGTGAGGAATACTGTGATTTACACTAGTTGAGAGTCTGGATAGTATTTTTTTTTAAAAAAGGGATCTATTGAAGAATGGAAGAGGGCAACATTCATCACAAATATTATTGTCAACAAAGAAGTCTGACTAGTCTGAACCATGAGATTTCATAAGTGATTTACCAGTGAGTGTCACCTCTTAGACTTCTTCTAATTAAGTGGCATTGTAACAGGAAATCATTTCATTTTAGCTGCTAAGAGAAAACTAAATCTCTGGAGAAAACACCCTTTTCTAATGGCAGGATGCAAACAGCTGTAAATTGCATGACTGTATGGCCAACCTGCAAGCTCTGTGTAATTCCAATGACATACGATCAATGCATCTTCCCCATCCAAGTGTTTGCCCCTGCCCTGTATCCTTTCCTTATTCACCATAGCCTGAGGATATAGATATATGACACAGTTACTATGGAATAATGTCCCCCAGAGTTTAACCCTTAGAATTTAACATAGTAAGATGTACACACATACAGTCAACTCTCCACCTGGGCACTGGGTCACAGAGAAGATAGTTTACATTCAGCAAAGGACTGCCCCAGGCTAAAATAGACTTAAATGAAAGACACATTACAGGTTCTACATTTTTTTCAACAGGTAACTTACTACATAATACTTCTGGAGTGATGTTGTAGTCTTGATGGTCCAGGAATTATGTAAGATGAAAGAATTTTTGTGGGTGATATCTTTTACCAGAACAACTACACCTTCCAGATAGACTTAAACAAGCGTTGAATGAGGCCTGGTGAAGAATGCATTCAAAAGCTAAGTCTATCTCAACCATGCAGCTGGTCCAATAAAAGATGTCACCTACAAAATCTTTGCCTTAATACACAGTAGGAATTCAAGTGACTTACCACATAGTAGTGCTACATAGTAGGGCTGTGTGTCACATACCTCCTCCACTTTTACTACGTAGCAAAGTCAATGTACTACATAGTAAATGCATCAGGTGTCTGCACCCTCGGACTCTGAGGGACCCCTCATCCTGTAACCTTTTCAGCCCTTGACCTACCTCCTTGCCTCTGTTCTCTCTTGGCTGATTCTTTTGCTCCAGTCTCACTCACTCCAAACCTCACTTCTTTCATTGAGCTAGTTTCTTTAATTTACATATGGTAGACTGCAGTTTAAAAAAATGTTTTTATCTACAACTATTTTCCCAATTCCCTCCTCCCCTTTGCTTCAAGCCTCTCTGAAAATGAGGTTTCTTCCCTCTAACTCAAACTGCAGTCCTGTAAATCATCTTAACTCCCATGTAGTCTACTCCGCCACCACTTTATTCCACTCACAAATTGCTCTTACGGACCTGGTTAGAAAGAAGCCTCAGCTACTGGCAGGCAATTCTATAGTTGTCAGCTATTAGGCTTATTGTTCTCTTCTATGAAACACCTGTTTCTGGAAACAGTTAGTCAGGACACTGAACTAGGTGGGCCATGGATCTGATCTGGTGGGAGTACCTATGACCTTCTGTTCTTTAGTTTTCTGTAATATTTTCTTATCATGCTCTTATAATTTTCTGTGAATATTTCTGTCAGTGAAATTAGAACAGCCATGGCTAGTGACTGCAAAGCAGTCAAACAGTTGAAATGACTTGGTATTAAAATTCTAACAGACTTTGCTGTGAAGTTATCTGTGCAACTCTGCTCCCTGATCTCCTTACCCTTTCCTCTTGTACATCCATCACACTAAAACAGAGGCAGGCAAAATACAGCCCACAGGCCGAATCCAGCCTGCCAAGCACTTTCATCTGGCCTGTGGGGCTCCCTAAAAAATTGTGCCCCACCGAGTCCTTCCACCCACAAAGGTGGGAACAAGGTGTCCACATGTACACCCACCCCCCAAACACACCCTATTGCCTTGCTCCCACCCTCATGGGTGGAAGAGGCCCACCTGGCAAGCATGCAGTTTCCTAGGGGAGCTGCTGCTGCTGCATCCCCCAGGGACCTGCTCTGCTTCCCCGGTCTCCTGCTGGCTCTGGGCAGCAGGCAGGGAAGCAGTGGGGGTGGGGCTGCAGCTGGGACGGAGCGCAGAGTGTGGGGCTGGGGCTGGCAGCAGCGTGGAGCCCATGCTCAGGGGGCAGCAGCAGTGTGGAGTTGCGGTGGGCAGCATGAGGGCATAAGGGAGAGTAGGGGAGATGTGGGATCTTCCTACACTCCCCCATATCACACAACCCTGGCAGGTGATGGCAGTGCCAGGAGCAGCAGGTGGGGCACTCAGGGCACAGGTGCCCAGCGGGGCACGGCTTTGGCCAATGCTACACATCAGGGTGAGGGGCACAGCCTCCCCTGGGCTGTCTGTATTGTTGGTGCTCCCTGCCACCCACATGCAGCCCCTGCACTCACACAGCACAGGAGGGAAGCCCCACATGCTGGAGCCAGGTGCCTTCCCTGCTGGGGCTGCACAGCACAGAAGAGAAGCCCCATGGGCTGGGGCTACCTGCCTTCCCTGCCGCCCAGGTGAAGGCACCTGGGGCTTCCCTCCCATGCACCGCAGCCCTGGGGAGGAAGGCAATGGGCTCCAGCCTGGGGGACTTCTCTCCTGTGCTGCATAGCCCCAGTGTGGAAGGCACCTGGCTCCAGCATGTGGGGCTTCCCTCCTGTGCTGTGTGAGCACAGGGGCTGTGCGTGAGTGGCAGGGAGCACTGGGGATACAGACAGCCTGGGGGAGTCTGCACCCCTTGCTGAGATGTGCAGCGCTGGCCAGAGTCCCACCCTGCTGGGCACCTGCACCTTGACCGACCAGTCTGCTGCTGCATCATGGTGGGGGAGTCTGGGGGGTTCCCCACACACCCCCAACTTCCCTCATACCCACACCCTGCCCCCACATAAACACAACTCCCCCACACACTCGCACATCCTACCACCCCACCCCATACACACCCACACCACACCCACCACACAGACACACCCACACTCACCATAACCACCTGCCCACAATATACGCAACCAAGAATTTATTTTTGAGTTATTATGCAATCACTTCTATATACACTACACAAACACAAATCATGACAAAAATATTTTTTGTAATAAAATTAAAATATAGTAGGTGTTTGACTTTTAGTGTATGGTTTTTTCCTCTGGCAACTCCCCCCCACCCCCAGGAGTATTTGGGTGGGGTAAAGGGAGGGACTTCCGGTGGCAAAGGTCAGGGGTTAGGGGTGGGACTTTTGATCCCAAGATGGGAACAAGGGGGTGGGGCAACTGTCAAGGGGCAGAGCTACCCATGCGGCCATGGGTAGCTCACCAAAACTCATTAAGTGGCACTCCACCCAAAATAATTTCCTGCCCCTGCACTAAAATCATGCTTGTACAATGTAATTCCATCTTCAACCACTATATCTCTATTGGCTTTTTGTTTCTTCTAAGGTCCTTCAAGCACTTTGTTTTGATTTTAATGGTCCAGCTCTTTCCTCGTTCTACTTTTTTTCTACAATCTCTTCCCTTCGTGTATGCATTCAGCACACCTTTGCCATACCTTTTTTTTTTTAGGATCACATTTATCACCCACCAAGCAATCTCTCCTTTCTTTTATATTTCTCTTCACACACCATTAAATGAGGCATACCTCACCTCCAGCACACATATATTCAGGCTGGTGTAATCCCCTAGTGAATGTATTTCAAAATTTTCAATCTATACATGATTTGCCAAAGACCTAAGCAAGGATGGATGCAAGTGCTGAAGTGTCAGCTCCAGCTGAAGCAACTCATGCTTTTTGTCTTTCCAAGTCCCTGGTTCAGTTCCCAGTGCTGCTCAAGACTGTAAGAACTTGTGGGACCTGAAGGGAAGAACACACATTTTACGAGGGAAATTTTGGGAAGAAATGTCAGATAACCAGGTTGTGGGTCCATGCCTGGATTGCGTGCTGCAATGGCAACTCCTCTGCACATAGTTCTTTGAACACAGATTCAGTGAGGTTAGAGAAAAAATGAACCCCTCTTATTATATTACCATACAGGTAATGAATAAGGCCTGTCCAGGATTTGGACCATGGTGGGTGTCAGATGCATGAGGCCACCTTCCTTTCAGCAGAGGTACGTGTGTATTACTGGGTCTTCTCTGTGCTGATGCACTGGAGATAGGAGGTGTTTTCATCCCTTGATTGACAAGCAGAAGCCTCAACTTTACT